TCATAAGATTAACATATTACCACGATAGTACATTAACTTAAAATAAATAGCAAATCATCACAGGATAGATAACATATGTTGCGTTATATGGAAACATGTGTTCTGTGATTTATATTTCGTACTGAAATCAACATATATTGTATTACAAGCTATTATATAATGTTCTATGCTATATATTGCATTAACAATTGTTGTATGAATTAAAATTTTTGTTGTGTTGTATAATCTACATATTATACTTTGATGATAAAATTAAAATATATTATGCTGAAATTAGAACTATATTTTATGACATGTAATTATATAGTTTGCTATTAAAATATTTGATATATGTTATATTAATATATGACACTTTCTTTGTATACATTTGATGATTTTGGTTAGAACATATTGTGATGAAATCTGAATTATGTATATTTTACTATATATAATTACATAATTTGCTATTAAAATATTTGTTATATATTATTTTAATATGTGATACTTCTTCTATAAGTACTTAATGATTAAGTCAAATCACAACCATATTAATTTGACACAATTAACACGATAGCTTGAGGGATTTTTGTCCTATATTGGTTAATACATCATTTAATGATATTGTTACATATAGAAAGTATAATTAAAGAGGCAAAAAAGTGTATGCAAGACACGTGAATATCAGAGAGCCACACACACGCATACCCACCAGTCCATCCGGACTTGAGATAGATTTTTTATTTACTGGAGCCCAATGCTTTACCTAAACTCATATTTTTGTTTGTCTGAAGATGAGTCCATATTTGAAGTCCAAAAGAAAATCTGCACACATGGCCCAAGTCGCAAGAAAATAATTCAGATAATATTCTATCCGATGGCATATATATCCATTTATAATCTCAAACGGAACTTTAAAATCTCGAATAAATTAGGATGCAATTATGTCAGTGCTTAAGGTTGACATTCTTGCCGCTCATCAAACCCTTGGCACAGTCCCCGAGTGAAGACACTTATATAAAGATGTCATTCCCTTCATTCTAAAATACACCAGCAATAAACTATCTCTTTAGTCTCTCTTCCCTCTAACTTTGAAGCCGTTTTCAATATTACGGTAAACCACTTTATCTCTCAGTTTTGTTGGATGGAGCTCCAAGTTTGAAGTTGCGACCTTTCTTAGAGATGAGATCGTTTCATCTTTGAGTGTAATACGCTATCAAGTGGAGATATTGTCATAGTGTAATTACTTTACGTACATAGAGATATTTCACTCAACTCGGTTTACTGTCAATTTTATTATATTTTTTGTTCTTGCATTGTTTCTCTATCAATCATAAGTAATTATCTCTTGTGAGAATAGGTTGAACGCTGAAAAAATTGCTGACTCGACTGATACCGCCGAAAATTCAATTGTCTCACTGGCAGAAGCCATCCTACTGCCTCTAAAATCATTGATCAGTCAATCACCAGCCAAGCAGGTCTGGGTCCATCCACTAGTCCCTTCTTTGTTGGTCTGTTGACTGATCTCTTTGTAACTGGCCAAGCCACTACCGTCCGTCTGCCGTTGGTCAAGTTGTTGTTGTCTTTCAAATCACCGAGCCTAGGTTTGGGCCACATATGATGACTAAGGTGTTGGACTCTTAACCATTTACCAACGTAGATTTTAAGAGGTAGCAAGAGAAAATATTTTTCTACATCACTATCTTGTTCAGGTCTTCTATATTTGTGCTACAAAACACCCAGAAACGACATAGCAAAATGCAGACTCTCAAATACATACAAATTGTGCATTATGGGCCTATGGAAACAATATCACGACGAACACTATACTAACTAGTGTTTCTAACACTCTTTATAATGTATATTGTAAAATAAAAAATACGAAATGATTATAGAATATCCTTGAGAAAAAATATAAGCTCGAGAATATTGGGTCTAAAATATTTATTGTAGCCTAATTTATGGATTATAAAATAATAGGCGGCTGTTCAATCATTAAACAAGTGAAGGAATTCCAATACCTAGTTTACTCTTCCATCGTAGACTAGATGCCATTACCTAAAAAAATTAATCACAAGCATGATAATCGAGAAATTGCCCCTGAGTGAAAGTAACTTCAAACACGGATTGAAGCCTGAACTGAAGTAGATAGGATTTAAAGATTTGATTGTGTGAATCCGAATTTAAAATGATAATAGAAAGGAGGACAAAGCAAAAAACGGGGATATTGCAAAAGACAACTTGATCAGTGATCCTTCCAACAAATGTATATGCCCAACTCAGACTGAGAAGGGAAACGGCATGGACAAACAATCCAAATTTACGAGTAACTATATTAATTGTGGAAAAATAGAAAACTAAGTGAAAGAGTCTTAGGCACCTAAAAAAAAAGCTAAGTTCTGACTTGAATGAGATGTCACACCGGATTGATCGTAACCTCAACAATGATGATCTCGTTGTTGTAATGTACAAGTCAAACTATGTGAAAGTCTGAGACTAGGGTTCATTGACATCGGAGCCATTGTCCATCTGTATTCCGACAATGTGAGCTATTTTCTGGGTGATTTTAATTATGCACGTGTTTGATTGAATGTCTTGCAAGAGTAAGGCTATGTTTATTTATGTTTTAAAATATATTTTGCATTATTTATCATTTTGGTTAAGAAAATATATTTATTATTCAAAATATTACATTCAATATTTATTTATATTATATTAAATATTTATTTTTTACTATTTTCAAAACACTATTTTTTTTAAAAAAAAAAAAACAGAAATATAAATAGTAAGAATTTAACTTATTAAATATATAAGTTTTAACAGTTAAATTTTATCCATATTCTATATCTTTTATGTGTCCTAATTTTATTACTAGGATTAGAGGAAATTGGAAAATTGGACAAAGAATTTGATGCCGTCCTATTTACATATTCTATTTTTATATAAAAATATTATTATATTTTAGTGTGAATGTGTGGTCATTATAACATAAGAATTCGAACAGAGAGAATATATGAGTAATATAAAATACTGATGTGGATTCAGTGTTAATTGTATGGGTGCTACACTTTTCATCACTAAAACACAAAAATTAAGCGTTTGAGGTGGTTATTGTTTTATAATCAAATGTCTTTCATATAAATAACTAAAATAATAATGTCTAGACTAAAAACACATCTCTCAATTATTTGAAAAAGATTAGATCATGCCAAACGAAATTACCTTATTCTACAATGTTGTTACCCTCATTGAACCCTCCAATACCAAACTGTAAACTAGTTTTGATGAACAAATGTTGTGCATAGGAATTCACAAGATTAACTTTCTTGAAATTGAATTGAAAATCCTCCAAGTCTTGATCTCTATAGATCATCCTGTACAACTTTCAAGAACTTTCTTATCCAAATCGCGTTGATAATCTCTCTATAACCATCCTAGTTTTAACTTCAAGCATCCTTCAACAATCACAAAATGAATCATTGGAGTTTTATTTTGAATGATAAATTATCCCCACATTAAAATAAATAGCATCTGCTTATGTTTGGATTGTTGTTATGTTATGACAACCTCAATGTTCTAAGTCCACTCAAAGCCTATGCGTAATATATTATACAAACGTGCCAACTTGTCAAGTCCCTACGATTGCGGCTCTCTTTCAACTACACTGCTCGATGCTCATCCCGGACAAAATCCAATTGGATAAAACCCTTCTCGTATATATATGAAATTTATGTTCCAACCTCAATGTACCTACGACTATTGACCTTATCATTCCCTAAGCATTGGTTCTCATGTTTATATATAGGCCACTATTCGACGGCCTATATCATTCATTGCTTTAATCTTTGTCGTCAGGTTTGAATGTAACGAAGAAATAAAGATATGTTTCCATAACTTGGACAAAATACTTGCTTATTGCCTAATTTTTCTGTTTTATTTGTGATTATAGAACTTTAGTTTGTATATACCTAGCTATTTCATTTTATAGGATTTTGCAAGTCAACCCAAATTGATTATTAGAATCTTTTGGAAAATGAAAGAGGATCATATCTTATCTTATTGAAGGTGGTTGGCACTTAATTATGATAATGATAACGAAGTCGATTTGGAGAGGTAGAAACACATCCTTACCCTCAACCTTCCTCAAGGAAACCCCTTAGGTTCACTATTATACGAATGGATGAATGCCTTAGTACGTGAGGCTCCATTCTCGCTATTTTGAAGTAATAATATGTATGTTTGTAGTTTGTGCACCCCTAGATCATTATTTCCGAAGAATATTCGATATAATATTGATAGGGAGTGCTTGTTTGCGTTCCTTGGAGAAGGCGTAGAGCCATGTGGAATAAAAACACAACGGCTATAGAAATCTTGGAGGAAATATAAGGATACTCGAAGAATTTGCTTTGGTAGCTATATATACTAGAGATGACCCTCCTCCGTTCAGACAAGAGATTTAAAAATAAATATTTGATTTGATGCTTTATAAAAACATAATATATTTGATATGATGTTTTTAAAAAAATTAATAGTGCGAAAGTGTCTAAAATATAATGTAAATAGTGGGGGGAATCGAATGATTTAACAATGTGTGGTCTTTGACTTTCAAGAATTTCTCAGCTCCCCTAATATCAAATATTTGTATCAATTTTTGGATACTTAATTAGAAAAGGTATTGTTTAACCTTCCTTGATGTACCAAACTAGGTTCTCAATTTCTTTTCGTGTTCTTCCAAGTGAAAGAACCCTAATATATAAATTCCTAATAATGAACTTCATCCATTAATTACTACTCCAACCCATCATTCATGCTTAATCAAGGCTGTGGACTGACTACATTTTATGCATATATAGATCATGATAATTAATTACTCACACGTGTATATATATATATATATATACTGCATTAGGATCAGAGAGAGGGAAAACAGCCTAAGGTCAATGTATGCAATTATATGTATATTACGACGACTATTAAGCTAGTTAGCTAGCTAGGATCGATTATAATAAATCATAATCATACATATATATATATATATATATATGTGTGTGAAGAAGAAGAAGAAGTGATTTTATTATTTGTGATGGTCTGCAGTGAGGGGAAAGAGTTGTAGGGTTTCGAGAGGTCTGTGGTTGTAGGAATTAAAGATGGGGCCCACTTGAGCAGTCACCATTGGATCATGACCGTTCGTAATTGATCTGATCCAGCAATTCTTTGGCATATCCACCACGTGTCCCATCGTCATCACAAGTCCCTCTCCTTCTGAGCCTCTTCTTCTTCCTCCTCCTCCATGACCCTGCTGCTGCTGCAGATTAATATATAATACATATAATTTCACAAAATTATCTATTTTAATTAAGCACAAATAAAAACTATATTAATTAGAAAATTAGGGTAAGTACCGAATTAGGGGGAATGGTTCTGTAACTACTACTGGTGCAGTGATGATGAGGATAAGAGCAAAAATGGTGAAACTGTTGGTGCAATTGCTGCTGCTTCTTTCTGAGCTTCTGTCTGTCTCTGGCCTTCCGATTCTGGAACCAGTAAAAGACGCTTTTGCCCTCAATCTTGCCGTAGGCGGCGAGGTGGGCGGTGATGCTGCGGATCTGGGCGGCTTTGGGGTTGCTCAGCCCTCTTCCGTACAGCTCCTGGAGGATCACCAGCTGCTCCGGCGAGGGGCGCCACCGTGTCGTCAAAGAAGAAGAACGAGACATTATTAAATTAATTAATCACGTAAATTAGCTGTTGCTGTGTACGTAGGGTAAGTCGTTTGTTTGTTTGTTTATATATACTATAAAAAGGTAGGAGAAGATGTAGAAGACGAAGGAAGATCGGAATCGGTGTGTAATAAATCTGTACCAAACAACCTGGAGAGGCATTATTAATATTGTACCAAACAAATTGAGTCAGCTGATGTAATCGCCTCTCTCTGTGTGTCTGACTGTTTGTTTGTCTGCACATTTAGTGATTTTGCACTGCTTGTGGGGACACTTGATGATCTTCAAATCTTCGTCATCATCTCTTCGTCTCATCGCCAACATGCACAGAATATACCGTGGTCCATTGTCATTGTACATACATATATCAGAAAGTTACTGCATATGTCTGCAAACTTTTTATTTAGGATGTGTTTTTGTAGGAGAGGGTTTTTGAAAAATTGAGTTTGGTTTGGATTTGATTTAAATTTTAAGATTGATGTGGATGTGTGTATTTTTTTTATATAATGTCCAGTTTTGGTAAGTTTGGTTTGGAATTTAGGTGTTTTGATATACTCACTTCGTCCGCAAACTAACATCCCGAATTGGTGCCCGAGACCAAAACCACATCGCCCTTTCGAACAGTTTCAAAAATTCCGAAATTATATTATATAGTCCCAGAAATTATCTACTCGAATTATCGTGATTAAGAATATTCTATGGAACAAAAAAAATCGAAACAAACCTCCCATGGTGCATTCATAATTATCTAGTCGAATTATTCTCATTATTCACTCGAATTGTTTGAGTTCTTATACGTTTTGTGTTAATCAAATTAAACCTGTAATATTATACACACAAAAAAAGTTGTATTGCATCAAAGGAGAAACACAAAGTAGAGGGTGATTTTCTTTTGAAGCTTACCAAATCCACAGGTATTTTCACCAATGATAGGAACATGTGGTTTAATTTGAAACCATGCACAAAAATTTATATAGCCATCTTAGGTGATTGATCCAAATTTTGAGAGAAATCCTCTTGGAAAATGTTTAAAAAAAAAAAAAACGTAGATTTATTTACTTGATATATATATATATATATAATACTATTTTAGATTAAACAATTATCAAAGTAGACGTTTTGTATAAAAATAGAAAAATTGTATAATATTCACTTTTGGTTTCGAAAAATTATAAAAAAAACTCCTGTATCTTTAAAATTGTCAAACCCATCTATAGTGGAATATGTGTTACACAAATCGATGATATGAATAGAATTTCAAAATTGCGACAATATGATAGTAAAGTTATAGATTTACTTTTATACCATATCAAATAATTAGTTGATCGTTATTTCTTGATGGAATATATGTTACTTTTGCTCTTATTTTTCTCAATTTTTTTTTAAATATATATATATATATATAACTCATAATAGGATATGTACATACATATTTTAGAACTTTTATTTTAGAGTAGGTTAGAGTCCAGATTTATACTATATTTTGATATAATAATTAATATTCAAATATCAATATAGAAAAACAATGTGGTCATTAGAGCCAGACGGAGGTAGTAATATTTAATCGAATTTAGGCATTTATTTTTTAATTCCTACAATATCAATAATAATTTATGAAAATAAATTTGATAATCGCGTTAAGTCGAGTTGAACCTCTCTCCGCAAAATAAATATACCCCGGTAGGACTTTCAGTTTGTAGTGAAACATTCTCAAAGATAAAATGATGTACGTTTTCGAATTAGGTGACACCCCAATATCTTGGAGCTCATACGGACTAAAACAAGGGGACTAGTACTGTGTTAGTAAGCGTAATATGAATGAAAGTTCCTTGACTATCGCCATAAAACTCACCGGAAGAAAAAAAAAAACTCTCGGAGAGAGAAAATTAAAGAGTTAGAGAATAGACGTTCTCTTCTTGGTACTGCTTTGAGAGGGCTTGGAGATGGCCTTCTATAGGCACTCCACCCCGAGTCGAAACCGCCCGACAATAAGTGTCTGAGCCGAAATAGACGCAATTAAATTTGGTAAAGTCTAACCATAAACATCAAATTTAATTCCGGTGATAAATATAATATTTGATTTATTAATTTCAAATAATTATTTATCATACATGCATGTAATTATAATTTTGGGCTATTTTTTGTTATACGAAAATAAATTTTCTTGACCTTCAATAATATATTTTGTTGTTACAATTTGGCTTCGGAGCATAATAGACTTTGTCGAGTCTAGCATTCACTAAACTTAAGCCTAAACCCACGACCACAATCAAGACCTTCGAGACAGAGACAAAACTCATGCTTGTGTTATGTGTCTTTATCTAGTCCAAGCATGTGGCAGACGCGCCTGTCGCTTACCGGCATGCATATGCCTAACCACACTATTAATAAGCACCATACAACCCATAAGTATTTCAACTCACCGAATAATCGATTTCAGAAATTACGAATTTAATTCAAAATTAAATTTCATCGTTTATATAATTAACTAATTTTACAACAATCTCCCAAGTGAATAGATATGCCCATTAATTAGGACAAGACACAACTCAGTTCCATAGATATCGACACGTCAGGATAGGTAGCTTGTGACTTTGAATATTTCTTAGTCAATATTATTGTATGTACCGGTGGCCTAGTTGACACGATACATTAAACTATTTCATCTTTGTGTACATTTCAGTCAATCATATTGACATCACGCTGTATCAGCCTTATTTTGTTCTCATTTCTTTTCTTTTTTTTCTTATCTGTTTTGGCCATGAATCACATCTTTGGATTTATAAATGTTTCATTTGAAGTAGCCCTTACTTTACATTTATATAGGTAATTCTATCTTAAAATATCTAGCTTTATTTTTAGAATTATTAAGAGTCAATGACTCAACCTCACCACTTTGCACCTTGTAACACTCGAATTTTAGGGAATGATAGTCAATTGTCCGTGTGAACTATTACAACTTAATTTTCCCATTGAACCAAAGCTTGGAATCTCCAAGTGATTTGATTGGGTACCATTATAATTGTCTCTTAATTTGTAGATTTCAGATCCATTCTATTTCGCAGTTTATATATTTGATCGCGATATAATCCTTTGGTTAACGGATCCGCAAGATTTGTTATTGACATAATATAATCAACAACCATTATTCCGCTAGTGATCAATTGTCTCACCGTACTGTGTCTGTGTCGGATATGTTAGAATTTATCATTGTAAATTTCATTTTTAGTCTTTATTATTGCAGCTTGGCTGTCACAGTGTATCAATACCAGAGATACTGGTTTTGTCCAAGATATTATCCAAAAAAGTTCTAAGCCATTCAGCTTCTTCACCGGATTTATCGAAAACGATCAATTTCTATTCCATAGTAGATCAAGCTATACAAGTTAGTTTTGTAGACTTCCACAAAATTGCTCCACCTCCAATCGTAAAGATATATCCGTTTGTAAACAACGAGGTTTTTCGTGTTAGATATCCAGTTCGCATCACAGTTCCCTTAAAAAACTTAAAGATGTCTTGTGTAGTGCAAAAGTCAAAAGTATATTTCAAATAATTCAAGACTTTCACTAGCGCAATACACAATCTACCGCTTTCTCAACGACTTACTTGGGATGCGGTACTTACAGTTTAGCCAGGTACCCCTACACTTTTGTATGAATGTTTCTTGTCTTTCCACAATTTATAAAGTGTTTTATTCTTACCCTCGAATGAAATTTTATTTAGAAAATAATTTGCGGCTAGAACTGTCCTCACAATTTTTTGGTAATCCTGAATAAATCAATAAGTCATTCATGCGTTCCGTAGCACTATTCAATTAGGTTGATATAGCGTCGTAGTCTTATGAATTATGCCACATAATTTTTTTTATATAGAGCTACACATTTGTCTCCTCAATCACTTCGAACTGTCTTAATATTACAACTCAACTAATTCGCTACCATTTTTAAGGCATTATTGATTTTTTTTGCCCATTAACAAGTAAATGTAGCAATATCTCGTGCGATAATTTATAGAACTGATAAAATAATTTTTTTCACCTTAAATTTCACAACCTTTAAATCACAGATAATTCTGTGAATTAATTCCAATACCATTTTCTTCTTCTTTTTTTTTATTGAAAAAAATAGAAATTTTGTTATTTTTGCCTCCACACAAACTTTTCATTTTGTTTGAGTGTTTACTTTTCTAATATTTAGCAAATTGAGATTACTAATCTTTTTATAACATTTACATTATATATTATAACCTATAAAGCCATAAATCCGAACACTCAAATCGTACTTTGTTTCGTCTGACCGGCATATGTCGACACATCATGAAGGTCGACGCCGGCGAAGCTTACACTAGAATTTCCAGCAACATTCATGATATTGACAATTTGATTGAGGGATGATATTCTCGAAATATATTAAAACGGTATTCGTTTATGTGATTGTTAAAAAATTATGATATCGCGAGAATATCAAAGAATTATGGGAAAATAAAATTTTATAATCAAAATAATTTATCGAGATAAATTTGATAATCAGGTTAAGTCGAGATAGAACCTCTTATCACAAAAACAATTACACCCCCTGGTAGTGCGTCAGATTCATGGCATAATACTTCCAAAGATAAAAACGTTGTTCGTCTCCGAAATAGGTTGCATCCCAATATTTCGGAGCTTCGAAAAACTAAAACGAGGGAACTAGTGTTGTGTTGTAAGACTTAATATGAAGGAGAGTTTCGGACTATCGCTGGAAAAATCACCGGAAAAAAATACTCTTGGAGGGAAAAGATTAGAGATGGTGAGAATAAATATTCTCTTCTTGGTAGTGCTTTGAGAGGGTACGGAGTCGGTCTTTTATAAACACTCCACCCCGAGCCGAAACCGCCCGGCAATAAATGCCTGAGCCAAAATTAAGGTAATTAAATTTTGATAACGTCGGACTATATACCCCAAACTTAAGTCTGGTGATAAATATATTATTTGAATTTTGAATTTCAAATAATTATTTATCATGCATGCATGTAATTATAATTTGTAAG